TGCGGCCACAACTCCTGAAGGACCAAAGGTGTTGTCCAGAGATACATGTGGTCTTTTCAAGGCCAGCTCCGTTAAAAGCAATCCCCCAAAATATCCAGTAGGTAAAGAGAGAGAGAGAGAGAGAAGAACGGTACTTTCTCCTTTCCCTGTGAACAAGGGAGTGCAATGGCCTGGAGTGTGGAAGGAACAAAAGGCTTTTCCAAAGTGAAATCGATTTTTTTCCCTGCTGCCAAAGGAGAAGCATTTGGAAATGCTCCAAACAGAAATATGGGCGTGTTGAATCTCTGCTCTAAACAACATGGGAAAAACAAGGTCAGGTTGGCATTAGAAAGTGAAGCCAAACCAAGATGGGCACTTCAATGCCTTTGAATTGTTGGATGGCTGCCCCTTTCCTCAGGTCCAAGGTGTCCATGGAGAACTCCAAAACATCTGGAGAACTTCGCATTGGCTCCTCCTGGTTTCTACGTTTCTCCGGAAGGTTTTCTTATCACCTGTCACTGATCCATTCGAAAGGCAACCAAACCACGCCAGTTGGGAGGCAGAGCCAACCTCTTTTTTTTACAAAACCCCAGTTGCATATGCAGATCCATAAGAAAATCGGATGCAGATTTGCAAAACAAAGACCCAAATCGTATTAGGCTTCCTGACATCCAAGACTTAAATGTGTTAGTCAGATCAACTGAGGTGTAAACTAAGAAGAGGTGATTCAAACTTTCCTTCCGTGCCAGCCTTAGAATATTTTGCAAGAGAAAAACACGGGGAACCAGGAAGTAGGATGATTGTAAGGTGGTCTTTGGCTTTTAACAAGTCTCTAAAGCTATGGAAATTACAGAAATTTCCTCATCTTTGTAGCTGCTACAAGAGTAGGCAAACTAAATTTGTGGAATCTCCTCCTGGGGTTCAACTAATGTACAGCATTTTAGGATAAGCTGTAGGGGAATGGAAAGCAACACACCAAGGGTGGCATCTGAGCAAGGCCCATGAATGGAACTAGGAATCACAAATATAAAATGTTAGGCACATTGTGCACAGAGCATGAAAAGATTTGGCAGTCTAGAACCTGGTTGAGTTGAGATGATGGCACCATCAGAGTGTAGTTTTGGAGAAGGAAGATAGAGCCTTACTCAATAGAAGAAGAAAAAAACAAGAAAGTCGAGTAGCAGAACTGATTTAACATATCTGGAATTAGCTGAAAGTTATGCATGATAGGGACTCACCCGTAGGATTATTTACTCAAAAATCTGGGTGATGGAAGTGTCCCCAGATTGAATGCAGATCTTCCTTCTTTGATGTACCTCAGCTGATGTATTTTTGCTCTCTTGATCTCTCTTGATCCCTTGCTTCTGTCCTGCAACCTCCTACCCCCAACATTATCAGCTCTTAAACCAATTAATATCATTTTGGAGGAATTGTGGAAGTCCTTTATAAATGGATTTTCATCTTACTTTATGGCACAAATTTCCATCTTGCTAGCTACAGTCACAGAGAAAGATAAGGAGAAGGAGGAGTAGCAGAAGAAGAAGAAGAAGAAGAAGAAGAAGAAGAAGAAGAAGAAGAAGAAAAGAAAGAAAGAAAGAAAGAAAGAAAGAAAGAAAGAAAGAAAGAAAGAAAGAAAGAAAGAAAGAAGAGACAGTCTATATATCAATCATGCTTAGCCAAACCCTATGCATGTGGTAGGAATCCTGCCAATTGGGTGTGCCATAAACCACAATGAGCTAGTTAGAAATTTTCCTAAATCATGGTTTCAAAACCAGTAGCTGCTAGCCTTGGGATCAGTGAGACTCCCTCTGAAGCCCATTAAATGGAAGACTAAGGGGCTTCCTGGTGCATTTGGTTGTCCTCTTTGAGAATAGACTACTGGACCAGATAGACTGGGGTTCTGGCACAGGTTATGTCCCTACATTCAAAAGACCCTTCACATTGCTTAACCAGAGTTTGAGACCTATTTTCGATAGTAAACTTGGCCCATTTAAAAATTGTGGCATGTAGAAGAATTTAGTTCCAAACTCATGTTGCCTTCTCATGTAATAAACTCATTAAAATGTAATTTGTGTTGTGGCTTATTAACCAGATAATCTTTTATAGTAATTAGGATTGTTATGAACCTAATTTACATCTCTCTAAATATCTTGTTTTAGGAAAAAAATGCTTGATGTCAGGGGGCTGGAGAGTCATTCCTTTCCTAAGTGCTTACAAACCAGAATGGTTTGGTTTAAACAGCAGGATCAACCCAAACCCAAGAAAGCACGTGATGTAATTTCCACCAGCAGATTTCTCCTCCAGTTGTTCTGGAAAAACTGTCATGTAGGAGGTGATTGTCACACGTCATAGCAATTTCCATCCATTCATTCTATTCATTCATGGCAGGCTTCTACCCCTCCTCTGGGTTATTCATCCTGAGAAATTCTTTTTATTATCTACATTTTTCTAAATCTGGTAAAAAAATAAATCTTCCTCTGCGACCACTTCTGTTTCAGTGGAAGCTAATGAGGTTGTAATGACAGAGTTGACACAACCTTTGGGTGTAAAGTAATAAAGGAGCTCTATTGCTCCAGAAGAATAAATACAGACATCTTAACAATGTGGAAGTCCCCACACACACACACTAAAACACAGACAGTGGCACGGAGATGTTGGTTGGGAAGGATGGATTTTCAGGTCCAACCTATCTATGGAGGCTACTAGGCAAGAGAAGGCTCTGGAAGAATGCCTTGCACAGATTCATCGGGTCACTCTAAAAGGTGTCCAAATGGATGGAAGAAAACAACAACCATCAACAGCTCCTTGAACAACAGATGGAGGGAGATGGAAGACGATCAAAGACAACTTGCATAACCTGTTTGAGGAAAGGTGTTTCATAAACATTTCACAAGAATTACGAAGGGAGAACATCTCCCAACCTGCCTGTAATTATGGCTCCAGATCGTCCTTAGCAAAAAGGTGAAATTATCAGGACACAACTAATCATAATCAGAGGAGAACAGCCCTCTTTGTAACTGATCCATAAACTTTTGGCAACCAGAGGTTGTCAGGAAGACATGGGATCAACCCAGCTGTGTGAAGTTCGGCTTCACCCTGAACCAGTTACGGGAACAGCAGCGATGCCTGGCCAGGCCCAAGAGGGGAGGGTGAGGAGAGCTACACTGATACAGGTGTAGATAGCCAAAAGTAGGCAGATGTCTCCAGACCTGTCAAACCAACTTGAGAAGTCTTATTTACTCTGCCTTCTCATCAACATGAAGCCAACTCATCTTGCTTAACCATTTCTTTTGGGAGGGGGGGAAGAAAGACCTGTTGAAATTCTGATTCAAATGCTTTGGAAAGGGTGACAGTTTTGACACCTGCAACCTCTTCTGTGTTCCTCTTCTCTATAGGAAGCTCAAGTTCCTTAAGTTGGTTGATGGTGGACCTACCTGATATGGTCTCTACACATGGTCTCACATCCCTAAGAAGATTCTCCCACTCCTTCCTTCCCTTCTAACATTTACATTCATCTCCTTATTCATGATTTAAAGATTCTCCAAAGCTGTGTTTACATTGTCTTCATTTCTTTCTTTTTTTGCACAATACTTTCTCACTGGTCAACCTAAGGTAAATGTAAAGGTTCCCCTCGCACATACATGCTAGTCGTTTCCAGCTCTAAGGGGCGATGCTCATCTCCATTCCAAAGCCGAAGAGCCAGCGCTGTCCGAAGACGTCTCCGTGGTCATGTAGCTGGCATGACTAAACGCCTTCGAAGGCACACGGAACGCTGTTACCTTCCCACCAAAGGGGTCCCTATTTTTCTACTTGCATTTTCAGATGCTTTCGAACTGCCAGGTTAGCAGAACTGCTGGGACAAGTAACGGGAGCTCACTCCATTATGTGGCACTAGAGATTTGAACCGTCGAACTGCGGACCTTTCTGATCGACAAGCTGAGTGTCTTAGCCACTGAGCCACCGCATCCCGTTGTCCCGTGTTGTACCCTGGTCAACCTACTATCCCCCAAACCTTTCTCAATTTGTGCCTGTTTCTCCAAAGCTTTCCCTCATATAGGCACCATAATGTCAAACAGTCCTAATTTATACATACTTACAGCTATGCTGTTGCCACTTGTTACATGTGTTAACTTGCCCAGTGATCAAGGTTTAGCAAATACCAAAAATAGATGATGGAAGGCGACCAGATCAGGAGTACAGAAACCCAACATGCTTTCTCATAATCTGCAATCTGATAGAAATAAGATGAAATTGCATCACAGGGGAATATTTCTGCCTCTTCGTGGATCGTTTCCATTTGGAATTTAGTTAGCTTGAAAAGTGGGCTTAGGATGTTCCATTAAGCTCAGTTCTCAAAATACTGTCCTCACTCTGTTTGACTTTGTGATTCTACACCACCAGATCAGATTGCCTATGACAACATTACACAAGTAAAATTATCCCTAATTTGTCAAATGACATGTTAGAAGACAACAGTGAGTTGTGGGGTTCATGGTACTTTCTGAGCTTGGCTGTGTTCTTGCAGATGTTTCATTACTCAACTAGGTAATATCAATGTTAGAAGGGAGTGGGACAGACAGCCAACTCTATTCAAGCCCTGAAGAAGTTACCTAGTTGGGTAATAAAACATCTGCAAGAAAACAACCAAGCTCAGAGAACACCAAGAAACCTAGAGTCCAAATCCGAGTTACAAATAATATTTTCTGTTGGTACAATGAAAACATGACAAAATTAAGGGGAATGAATTAGCCTAACAGCCTCCAAGAAGAAGGTAGTTTACATAAGTTAATTTTTTCTATTTTGCTGTTAAATATTCAGTCAAGGAAATGTAGCAGAAGCCAATGAAAATACTATGTCAACAGAACAAACATTCTCTTAGGGCAATCTTCATCACATTTAGGATGGAATTTTATCCTGCACCATCTGAGGATGGTGGAAACCATAATAGAACCTAACTAGAGTCTCCAAGTTAGAGAATGGCTTGTGGCAAATGTGATTTGTTCGCTTTATTTATGTCCTGCAAATACTCCATGTAGACTTGTGGTTGATCCTTCAACAGTGGCATATTTTCCACTATGGCTCTTCTAAAGTTTGAAGGTTCTAACAGGATTTTTGGAGAAGGACAGGATATGGCCCAAGACAAGAACTGAAAAGGAATGTATGGGGCAACTGAGAAGAAAAACTGAGACAAAAAGAAGAACTGGGATGACCTGATATCAATGTTCCAATATCTCAGATGCTGCCACAAAGAAGAACGGGTCAACCTATTCTCCAAAAAACCTGAAGGCAGGAGAAGAAGCAATGGATGAAAACTGATCAAAGAGAGAAGCAACCTAGAACTATGGAGAAGTGAGAACTCACTCTCACTCCTGACAGAGAGCAATTAATCAGTGGAACAACTTGCCTCCAGAAGTTGGGGTTTTTAAGAAGAGATTGGATAACCATTTGTCTGAAATGATTTAGAGT